GGATGGGATAGTGGACAGGAGAAAAAAAGTGTATCCATGAGACCCCATATTGCCTACTTCTGATAGAATCATAGAGCTGGAAGAGACCCCCAAGTTCCATCCAGTCCAACCTCCTGCCATTCAAGAAGGCACAATCAAAGCACTCCCGATAGACAGCCTCTGCAGAAAAGCTTCCACCCCACTTCCGTGCAGCTTATGCCACTCTCCAACAGCTCTTACTCTCAGGAAGTTCTTCCTAATCTTTTCAATCAAATCTCTTTCCCTGCCATTTGAAACCATTAGTCTCTTGTTCCCTGTTCTCTAGACCAACAGAAAACTAGTTTTCCCCCTCTTCCTCAATGAGACACCCTTTAAATCTTGAAACATTTTTTTATATATCAGTTAATCCATACCATTTCAAATTACTGTAGATTTTCCAGTGGGTGTTCTCAGGCATCCAGCATGTGTAGACCATTTTAAACCTCCTTATTCATTGATTTGTGTGAGAAATGAAAATTTGAAATGATAAAATCAAGGAAAATCCACCTGTTGTCATTTTGGTGAACCTTGTCATATGAATTTACTCTGTGCTGGATGGTCCGTCCCAGTTAAAATGAACAATAGCAAGAGAAATAGTGGAAATGACTTCTGTGAAATCTAGGGATCCGCATTTACATGCCAAAGGATTGTATTTTTGGTTTTCTAAATGTAAGGGAACAAAGAAAACTAGCATAACATGGTGCTTTTAGTGTTGGAAAATAACAGTGGACCTCAGAGTTTGAATTTCCACTCAGCCTTAGAAACTCACTGAGAAATCTTGGGCAAGACGTACTTCCTCAGCCTCAAAGGAGGGCATAATCCCTCTGAACAAATCCTATCAAGAAAACCCTGTGACAGATTCATCTTAGGGTCACTTTTAAGTTGGAAACAAAAAAAAGGAACAAAGGCGTTGCAGGTATTCTGTGCCTTTATGTCAGGTATCAAAATAGTAGGCGGTTCTAGTGGGGGAAATTGAGGAAATGGGAATAAGGAATGTTGCAAATAAGAATGATGGGAATAGAGAAGAGGGAAAAGATCCAAGAAAACATTTATCTCAATGAGTTTAAAGCATGCATCCTTTCTTCAGGGGAGGCTGAATGGCCATCTGTCGGGGATGCTTTGAATGCAATATTCCTGCTTCTTTCTAGGGGGTTGGACTGGATGGCCCATGAGGTCTCTTCCAACACTATGATTCTATGATTCTGTCTATCTAACTATCTGTCAGTTGATCTGTCTGTCTGTCTGTCTATCCATCCAACCATCCATCCATCCATCCATTACTGTCATACTGGAAAGTACATGCACAAGTATTCAATTACAGGTTGAATATCTCTTTGAAATGCATGAAAGAAGTGTTCTATATTGCAGATTGGGGAAGGAGCATGATTTTGGAATACAGTAGAGTCTCGCTTGTCCAACCTTTGCTCATCCAACATTCTGTATTATCCAACGCGGTTTGCCTCTCACCCAGATCCACTGCTGTTTCAATACATTGCAATGTTTTGGTGCTAAATTCATAAATACAGTAATTACTACATAACATTACCGTGTATTGAACTGCTTTTTCTATCAAGTTGTTATAAAAACATTATGTTTTGGTGCTTAATTTGTAAAATCATAACGTAATTTGATGTTTAATAGGCTTTTCCTTAATCCCTCCTCCTTATCCAACATTTTCGCTTATCCAACGTTCTGCCAGCCCGTTTATGTTGGATAAGTGAGACTCTACTGTACTTGCAAACAGATAATGGGACATCTTAAGTCTAAATACAATATTCTTTGTGTATCTTATACATGTTATATACATAGCCTGAAAGTAATTTTATGCGTAATATTTACAATAATTTTGTGCATGAAACAATGTTTGTGTACAATGAACGATCAGAAAACAAAACTGGTACTATCTCAATCACTAGCATGGATAATTTTGGAGTGCTTTGAGTTTCAGAATGCCAGATAAGAGATGCACTACCTGTCTATTGAGTTCTAATGTTGCTGGTTGTCAGATGCAGAGGTGGAGGAATCCAGTCAGACCCATCTGCTAATGGGACCTTTTCCATCAGCGGAACAGGTCTGAATGTTGCCTCCCTACTTCATCTTTCATGCGACCTTCATCTCAGTTGCACAGATGGTTGTGGTGGGAATGAGAGGATAAGTTAACCCCATCTGATGTGTTTTAGACTGGCTTCTTCTCCATTATCTTGCCTTCTTAATAGTAATAAGGTAAATGAGACTCAATAAAATGTGAAGGAAAACAAATCACTTCATTTGAAAAAGCGGAGTGTTTCAGACTCACACAGAGAGACACACGCAGACTTCAGACGGCAATTATGCCACAAAAAGATGGGCCTAATATCTTTATATAAAATAAGAGTCACTTTGTGTTACAACTCAAATTTAGTAATGACTTCAAAATCAAGATGAGGTGCCAGAATTGGTGTGATATACACCCAACTTGGAGATGCAGGCAGCGGGAGAATGGAGCAGATGGCTTGGAAATCTCACAATGCCATCATGCCGGCCAGGAGCAGCTTGCGGTCCCAAGAGCCGGGGGGAGGTGGGATGTCGCACCCTGCCATTTTGGGAAGAGGTGCCACCACACACACACACACACACACACTGCTGAAATTTGCCTCAAGTTCTTCCTGTGAAATTGGGCAGAACACATCCAGAATTATCAAATATTTGTATTGTGAGCCTTCTTGTCTACTCATTTGTAACCAGCATAACAAAGTCGCGTTGGACATTGGTGAATCATTTATTGGCATAGGCAGGACAGAAAACGTGAGCCCACAATGCCTCTGATGGATTATCAGTATGCAGCTCTATAAACCATAAATTGCTAGCTCTGCCATTATGAGAACCAGCAAGACATCTAAATGAGTAAACTCACCCACCTTGATAAATTAGCGGGGGAATGGGAACACACTGGTATCTCTTTTGTTTTTTTTCCACTTTGAAAGTAGAATTAGGGAACATTCCAGCTATTAGTGTGTACAAGGCACTCAGAAACTAGACTGGAAACGAGTGGGAGTCTTTCCGAGGAGTCCCATCTGCTTAAAGAAATCTGTTTTGAATGTCTCCTCAAGAGGTCAAAAATAAATATAAGCGATGAGTTGGCCTAACTGCTTATTCACTTTGTGGCTCTGGGTGGGTCTGTTCCCAGTCTGTGATTTAGTTTTATTGTTTAAGAATTTGGCTGAAACTTAGCCCACTTCTGCCAAGCAATGGATGGGATAGAAGGGGCCTTGTGATGTCTCAAAATCTTTTCGTGTTATTTAGGAAGCTGTTGCCAGAACTCACCCCTTTTCCTATTTGTTATATAAATGGCATGGCAGGGGTCATTAACTGGGCATTTGCAAATGATGGATTGCCCAAAAGAGTGTAAATACCAGCTTGGTGGAAGCTATCCCTCTTCAGCAGAGGGAGAAACTAGTGCATTCACCTCTGAGACTTCAGCTCTGTACTGATCAGTGTATGGGTTTTCCGTCTGTTCATGTTCTCTTTGTTGAAGGTCTTGGAGCCTTTTCTGAGGCCGATGAACATGCAGCCTGGTTTCTGCCATGTAAACCAAAATGCAAAAAAATGCCCTACTGACTAATTGGGTGGGGTGAGTTGAGTTGTGGTGCACTCCACCGCCCTCCATCTATCCTCCTAAGCAGGAACAGCCAGCCAAATAGTTTGAACCTTCTGATCACTGCTGATTGGCTGACTGAGAGTGGACTGTCTCCCTTTTGTCTGCCCCCCTGGAATATATTTGGGCTCACCCAGCTCTGGAGCTCAGTCTCCTTCAAACTCTCTCTCTGGCCACCCATCTCTTTACTCTGATTGTTGTTTTTTGTTCTGGCTACTCTCAGCATGGGAGCATCTCCCCAGCTATGTGCTGGTGAACATGGCTGTGCAGGTGGCTGGATGGCACCTGCTGTTGCAGTGGAAACAAGATAGAGGTGTTCAATTTGGCCTTGTGGCCTCTAACCATTTGTGTGGAGTACTGCCATCAGCTCAGCACATGGGCTGGCCCATGTTGGATCCAGCACCCATGTGTGGCTGCCAACCTTTGCTGTCAGCTGTAACCAGTAAGCAAGTAGTGGCCCTTGTTACCTGAAAAAACTTAATGTGTGGTCTCCATGTCTTGAGAGGGGTTTTAGGCCCCTTGCACACACAACTGAAAATGCTCCAGTTTCCGTGACTCTCATCAAATACCTCTCAAGCAGCAGATGTGTATGCTCTCTGTATTTCTGTGATTTCAAGACTGCCCCGTATTCCATTGGGAAAGGCATATAATTAGGGAAATTGCTGATGCTTTGTGGGCTGTAACTATCCCTGGTGCTGAAACTGAGCATTGAATGTGAAGCCATGTCCTTGAGCAATAAGTCACTGCAAAGTAAGGATAGTGAAAGGATATCATTTGCTTTCCATTTTATTTCGTAAGAACTGACCACATTTCACATTTCCAAAGCAGGGTGCATTCAAGAATGCCAGGAGACGTCTGTTTTTGTACTTTGGAGAATGACAGTGCCTTTCTTCATTTTTAAAATGCATACAAAAATGCAGACATTTGGTCAAAAATACTGGCACATCTTATAATAACCACATGGTAGAAATTAGTACTCCAAAATGCATTTATTAGGGAAATTGCTTGATAGGAGAAACCGCACATAGAAATATGTTCCTAGGGAGAAGACTATGCAAATAATGTGGATTTGGTCTTTTCCTTCTTTATGTTGGTCCAGCCTTTTAATGAATTGTTTAAAGGTTGCAAAATGATGCCAAAACAGGATGAAGTAATTATGCAAGTGGGAGAAAATAATCACAAGAGCAAGAAAATGACTGGGGCACATTCATCCATCCCACTGCAAAGTGAAATGGGTCAGTGGTTCTCCTCTGTGTCTTTATCTCCATTATCCCCACCTGGCAGGACTGGCAAGACTCCACAGGCGAGTTTGGCTCCTGGTTTAATCCTTATACTTTTCCTTCTGCAGGTGTTCACACGCTATGGAAAGTGCTACACATTCAACTCAGGTCAGCCTGACAAGCCACCACTCATCACCATGAAAGGAGGAACTGGGAATGGCTTGGAGATCATGCTGGATATTCAGCAGGATGAGTATCTTCCGGTCTGGGGAGAAACAGGTATGTGATGTTTGTGGGTTTTCAAGTATACAACATAGCACCCACTTGTCAGCCTTCTCTCTGTTGGATGATCGCAACTTGCCCTTTTCCTATGCTAGGCTTATCTCTTTTTCATTCCAGATTCCAATTATCCACAGCAAGTTCTTGCCAACTCCTTCTGCCCCATTCCTCCTAGGACTTTATGTGCTTTATTACTTTCTCAGACTTTTCTGGTACCCTTCATCACACCTCCTTCCAGCCCTTCTTCTTAGTTTACCTTTTTTTTCTATCCCATCCACTTCACCATGGCAACCCACTTATCACTGTCACGCAGAGAGCTGCCTCTTATCTACAAATAGCACATTGTTCTTCATAAAATAGGATCATTGTCAAGAGTGTAGTGGGGGGGAGAGAGGGGTTAAAGCCTGGATCCCAATGCAGAGTTCACCCAGAGGCGCTGTGTTCATGAGTTCCTGGGTTGCTGGCCATTCATTTCTAAAATAAAAAGCTCTGTCAGGACAATGGATGGAAAGAATATTCAAAAATACGATTTGAACACAAACTCTGATGAGAAGCTTTTTCTGCCCAGGAAACAGGAGTTCACATTTCTGTATGTTCTTTCCTGTACAGAAATGCTGCTTTCTGTGCATACAACATGATGTTTTCTGTGCCAAACAACTACAGTTTTTCACAGTAATTTCCAGTTTGCAAATAGCCTTCAGAAACTGCTAGGTTTTCAAATACTTTCTCTCAGCAAGAAAATTGCTACTTTTGAGGAGGAACATATGATGCATCTATACTGTTATAGAAAAACTACCCTAAATATAGCAGAGCATCCAAAAACAAACAGGATACAAAAATTGAGCATCGGCTCGTTTGCAGGCAAAGCATGAAATGTCGTGTGATGTAGCTGTAAAGAATGAAGAGCCTAGACAGGCAAAGATGCAGAGTCCAATCTTAAAAATCACACAAAAGGTTTATTTACAATAATAAGAAATAACTGCATTTCTTAATAATCAAGAACTGGATCTGAGCCCATCTTTTCATATCTTTTCTAAGGTTTCAAGAGAGAGAGATTTAATCACTACATCTCTTTGACACACATGGAGAGAAAGATCTCAAAGCACACAGCGCATACTCTGATGTAAGAAACAGAAGTCAGATTTAAAAGTGTGCAGTAGAAAAGTATCAATTCTATACAACCATTCAGAATAAGAGCAGAAACAGAGAGGAGAGAAGAAATAGATACATTCCCAACTATCATACAGGAGACATGGCAGAAGGGAAACTCTCAGACTATTCTAAGCTGACTAAACTGTTTCTCATTGAGAACTGCAGACTTGGGCAGTGTGGGGTTGAATTCCAACATATACCACTTAGGATGCAGTTTGACACCACTTTAACTGCCATGATGCAGTGCTATGGAATCTTGGGATCTGTAGTTTGATGTGACACCATGATGCTTTGGCTGAAAAGGCAAAAGACCTTGTGCACTGCACCTCCCATGAGTCCATATCATTCAGCCTTGGCAATTAAAGTGGTGTCAAACTACATTAGTTCTACAGTTCAGATGCACCTTAGTGAAGAATTACACCCCTAATCAGATGCCCTTTGAGACTTGTGTCTAGATCTCCCAGAAGATCATGGGCAGCAGAATGAGGGATGGGAATTTGCTTCTTGGCTCGCGCTTGAGCCGTACCCATCTAAGTCACCTGAGTTCTCTTTTTACTCTCTGTGTCATAGATGAGACCTCATTTGAAGCTGGGATTAAAGTGCAGATCCACAGCCAGGATGAGCCACCCTTCATTGACCAGCTGGGATTTGGAGTGGCACCTGGTTTCCAGACGTTTGTGTCCTGCCAGGAGCAACGGGTAAGAGAAGGAGACCCTGCCGCACACCTTTTTAAACCACTCTATCTTACCAGAACTAGTGGAATAAAGTGGGCCTCCCCATGATCTGGGGAGGATGAGAATTACTATGAGTGAAATCTTCTTATCTCCTGATAACAAGGACAAGGATGGTGTAAACCAGGCATGGGCAAACTTTGGCCCTCCAGGTGTTTTGGACTTCAACTTCCACAATTCCTAACAGCCAGTAAGGTGTCTGGGATTTCTGGGAGTTGAAGTCCAAAATACCTGGAGGACCAAAGTTTGCCCATGCCTGGTGTAGAATGTCAGTGGTGTGTGAATTTTGCTTCTCCAGATGCTGTTGAACTAAACTTCCTCTTATTCCTTAGCATTGGTGCATGGGGCTAATGGGAGCTACAATCCAATGGGATTGGGATGACTACATGTTACCCAGGAAAGATCTAGAAACAGAATGAGTGTCTTTGGTTCTGAGTGCAGGGAATGGGATGAAATCATAGTCACACAGTATTCTGGTATCCCTAGTGATTTCAATACACTATTACTTTGCCACATTTTTAATTTATTATTGTCCTTTTTAGTTGTTGAAACAGCTCTAAGAATGTTTTTAATGCAAAGTGGGTATATATACATTCTAAATAAAAATCTCATTGTACAGAAATAAACTGTTCTTTCATCATCGGAGTTTGAAGGGAGTTTGAAAAGAAGTGGTTTTACCTATTCTTTCACTACATGGTTATGTTTTGAATGATTGTACAGAAACAGAAAGAGAAGGATGCTTTCATCTGGGATATTCAGTTATGGACATCCCAGAGGGAAATACAGCATAGGAAATAAGAAAAACAATGTTCATAATTTTGAAAATTGAGTTGCTTGAGCTTGACTTAGAACCAGGATGTGTGTGTGTACACATGCCCATTTGAGTGCATAATACATGTGTAAAGAAACAGATGATCTGACTCTTCTGATATATATATATATATATATATATATATATATATATATAGTATACTATGTATACATACCACCTGCGAGTCTTCCTTGCCGAAAAAAATCCTATGAAATTCATGGAGGAAAATCATGAAATTAAAATTAAATACCTTAATACCATTTTTCAACCCAAATGATGTCTTCAGCTCACAGAGAGTTTTGGATCATAGGGGAGGATTCATACATGAACTCACTCACTTATAGGCTCACGTGTCATTTGGGGACCGTGCCATGTGTCCTCCAGTTCTAGGTTTGAATTGACTCTTCCACAAAACACAGGATCCACCTCTGCTCTTGGGTCATATTTTAGTGGTTTCCAATATACTTCGCATTGTTTAGCCCATACTGTTCTCCTAACTACGTACACTGTGAACGTTTTTGTAGGCCAAGGCTGCAGTGATGTCTGTATAAGAGAGCAGGGAATATCTCTGATCCTTGATAAGGATTATGGGCCAAGTGTTACCCCTCCCCTTTTCCAGAAGGACCAGTGAGATGCTGCTTTTTCACGCCTTCTTCTTCCTCTCTTCTGCAGCTCCTCTACCTTCCTCCTCCCTGGGGCCAATGCAAGTCAGTGACAATGGAATCGGATTTCTATGATACCTACAGCATTACAGCTTGTCGCATCGACTGTGAAACTCGATACTTGGTAGAGAACTGCAACTGTCGCATGGTGCACATGCCTGGTAAGTCAGAGAGAGCTGAGCTAGTCCAAGATATTTTGCGGCCTGAAGCATAGCAACCCATGATGCCCCCTTCCCACTCCTCCATTCAACCATTCAGTGACACCACGTATGCTTCTCTGCCACCTGGATCACATTATAATCATAAATGTGTAGCTCTTTCTCAACAAACCCTAAACCTGCTGCATGGAGCAGGCACATCACTCTACCTTGTGGCAAGAATGAAACCTGGGGCAAGAGCTGTAAGAAAAGAGGTTTTATTTTTAAAAAAAAGATACTATAGAAGATGCCAGTCACACCATTGGAGAATGAAGATCCCTTGCTTTCCTGGGCCGCAAGACGCCCTCCGCTGATATAGATAGCTCTTCTCCTGCACAAGACCAAGTCTTCTGGGAGCTGACAGTGATTGACAGTGCCTTAAAGGTGCCAAGACAACTAGCTACACATGAGTGCATCTCCATACAAGAAAGCACCATAAGGATTGGAGCCTAATTTAGTTGTATTTAGAGTAGACTCATGGAAATTATGGTATAGCAGAAGATTTCAGTGCCTGTACTCTAAACACAATTAAGACTAGCTTCAATTGGATGCCTGGAATTTCTAGTAGGCCTACAATTTTTATCCCATGAGCTTTCAGGAAAATGTCCAAGGAGTGGTTCAGTAATAGAGTACGTAACAGGCTGGATGGATGGACAGACAGACAGATAGAATTTCTGATTACAGTCACAAAGCCTTTTGAATTAGGCTACCTCAGGAGTTTTTCCCATCTCAGAACGTATACCTCAAGGAGGGAGAATCCTCCTAGAAGCCCAGATTGTGAAAATATTCATATTTTTCCAACCACATCCTTAACAGTTGATTGCCACTGTTCATATGTCTGCTGCTGATCCTGAGTGATTTTCTTCTTCTGACTTCTATACTTCCTTACGAGGTGTAATCCTAGCTAATCTCTGTTTCCCAAACTAAATAATATTGTATGGGAGGGTATTATTTTTATATGTACCAGAGACCAGCACCATATTTGTGCCTAGAGGTAGTTTTATCCAATTTATATACCAGGTTTATGTAATGTATTATTGTTTTCATGTTGGTGCATTTTATTTTATGTATTATGTATTTTGTGTATGGCATCTGTATGTCCTATTTTGTAAGCCGCCCCAAGTCCCTATGAGAGATGGTGGCGGGGTGTAAATAAAGTGTTGTTGTTGTTGTTGTTGTTGTTGTTGTTGTTGTTGTTGCAATAGAGTCTTGCTTATCCAACATAAGCGGGCCGGCAGAACATTGAGTAAGCAAAAATGTTGGATTATAGGGAGGGATTAAGGAAAAGCCTATGAAATGTCAAATTACATTATGATTTTGCAAATTTTGCACCAAAACATCATGTTTTACAACAAATAGATAAAAAAAGTGGTTCAATACATGATAACATAATGTAGTAATTACTGTATTTACATATTTAGCAGCAATACATCACAATGTATTGAAACAGCTGTGGATCCAGGCAGGAGGCAGACTGCGTTGAATAATACAGAACGTTGGATGAGCAAAGGTTGGATAAGCAAGACTCTTCTGTATTATTATTGGCTAAGTTTGGGAGGTTTTTTTCTGTTCTGGAAATTTTACTGAGACTGGCAACAGGCGAGGACCAGAAAATCAATGGATCATCACTTTGAGGAGTACTGATGTAGTTAACCCAACAAACCTTACCAGATAATTTATTTGGGTGATATGTTGACATCACTGAGTCACATGACAAAGCTGAGAGATACTGAGTGAGGACAATGCCTCCTGAATCAGTCCTATGAATGGCCCCAAACCCCAGGAATCATAGTGAACTAGATCATGTCACAACTAATCAGACCTGACTGCATGCAGAATCTGGGCCAACTACTGTAAATCATATTCAAAGTGAAGGAAGTGCTTCCAGAACAGATGAACATCTTTATTATTTTTCAAGGCAATTACCAAACATCATCAAAAAGTGGGCGGGGGTGTTTTTCATTGCAGCTGAAAATGTTCATTAAAAGTACCCCTTCTTTCTGCTTTTCTCTAATTATAGTGTTTCATAATTACAGCCACTCCCACACTTCATTTCTATTTCATGAATTAACAGACCCCAAGGCTCTCTTAACTACTCCACCTTGGTCTGTACTCAATCTTTCCTATTAAGCAAAAAAAAAAGGGGGGGGGGCATTTCAAGGGATGTAATTAGCATAATTAAAATGAAACAGTGAATTAATTAATCTAGTCAGCCACGGCTCCTGAAGAGCCAGACAGAATAATAGCACAGATGTACAAAGAGGAGGGGGAATTGTTTTTTCCCCAAAAGGTGGACTGAAATTTCCAATTGGTATCTAGGCTACCATAGAACAATATGGAGTCAGAGTGAATGACAGCTAAGAAAGGGCAAGCAAAGATAAGAGCAAGAGCTTGGGATTCAGCTTCGCTTATGTAACAAGTGCTTTGATTTTTGCTTTCTTTCATCTCTGTCTTGCAAGGGTTCTATGAATTCAAACAGATCTAGAGATACAATGGAAACAAAGGTTGAAGAAAAGTAGGAAACGAAGCAAAAAAGCCTATGTTTTCAAGAAAGTTGTTTGGATCTAGCGGGCTAGTTCCCCAACAAACTATGATTCCATAGCAATGAGCCATGACAGTTAAAATAGTGTTAAACTGCATTGTATCTACTGTGTAGATGTTCTCTAAGGCTAGTAGCGTCTGCATCCTGCTACCAGTGTCCTATTATGCTTTTACAACTGGTGGTGTGTTACAACAGCTCTATGGATGTCATGCTTGGCATCAGGCCTTTGATCCAATGGCATCAACATGTATCTTGAGGTCTGCGAGGGTAATCTTTTGTGATGGTCCACAATACCAAGGTCACTACTGTCAGCTTTCTTTGTGGGCCAGAAAATGCAGTCCACGTGGAGGAATCTATCTACACATAATCCAGAATCTTACTTACTGTATCTTCCCATCAGTGCTTTTTGATTAAGACTGCTAGAATGACTTGTAGTGAGAATATCATCATAATAGCCCTATGACATAATAATTTCTTTAAACTTATATTTTTGTGCAGGTGACGCTCCCTATTGCACCCCTGAACAGTACAAGGAGTGTGCGGATCCAGCCCTTGGTGAGCATCAGTGGGTTTCTTTCCTGGGTTTGGCCTCTCTTTCAGCTAGAGCAGCACTCTTTGTCCAAGACATTTACAATGTTCACAAAAAAAGTCTTGTTTGGACCAGTATTTGGTCATCATACAAATGCTGCCTCCAAACCTCAGAATTATTACCCTGGATTAATATAAAGTTCAACTTGCAAATAAGACAGACCTTTTCAAATGCACCAAAAGCATAAGCAATAAGAATGTTTTTCACAGTAGCTAAGTTGGCCAAGGGATTCTGGGAATTGTTGTTAGAGTGAGAAAGCTAGACAGATGCAACTTTCATTTATTGTGGTGATAGTTACTTCCATGCATACTTCTGGGTTTTTGTTATTAGTTTTTGAATTTTGGCATATTTCACCATCTTTGTGGCTCTCATGGGGTCCCGGGCCTGCCACAGATGCCCAGCTCTGGCTTTGGTGTAGTGGCACCTCATGTTGTGAGCCAAACATGGGCAGCACAGGGCTTGCTTGCATTCTTCAGAGGCCTTCTATGAAACCTCTTCCAAGTGGCTAACCAGATGTTACTCCTACCATGCTGAATCCCTGCCCACCTCCCACCCTTGCACTGCCATGATTTTACCAGGGGAAGAGAGTGTCTGAGGACAACCATCTTGCCACCCCATCTTTCCCAACACAATTTACATGCCCACTGTCCAAAGCTTGGGAGAGTTTGCTTTTTTGGTATATTCTTATTTGGCATTAAGTTTACAATAAGGCTGTTTTATACTTTTTATGTATCTCTTTTTGATGTAATTTGTTGATATGTTTCTTGGTTGGCATTGAATGCTTGCCATATGTGTTGGAAACCACCCTGAGTCCCCTCGGGGAGATAGAGCAGTATATTATTATTATTATTATTATTATTATTATTATTATTATTATTTGGACTACATCTTCTAGGAATGACCAGTCCATGCTGACTTAAGGAATCTGGAAGCTGTAGTCCAAAAACAACTAATTACTCCACTTTCTACTACTAATACAGTGAACCATACACTGAGATGAAATGGGAACTTTGTGTATTGGAGGGGGGAAAGGGAAAGGTTGTGCCTTTGTTGTGTTTGAACATACAGTTCCCAGTCCATTGTCCCAGGAAGGCTTTGAGGACTAAAGCACTGAACACTCCATATATTGAAACCTAACTGGATCTGGCTCCTGGTTGGTGGATGGGTGACCTCATATGTTAAACTTTCAGAAGGAAGAATTGTGTCCAAGCAACTGAGCTTTTACCTCTCTTATCTAGGCAACCAAATAAAAATGTAAATTAAATCTGGTTTTAAACTGATTTTATTGTGACTATTGCCTTGCCTTCCCCTACTTGCAGACTTTTTGGTGGAGAGGGACAGTGAATACTGCGTATGTGAGATGCCTTGCAACGTCACCCGCTATGGCAAGGAGCTCTCCATGGTCAAGATCCCCAGCAAGGCATCCGCCAAATATCTGGCCAAGAAATATAACAAGAGTGAACAATACATTGGGTGAGCCTTTCTGCCTTTCTTTGCCTCAGTCCACTTACCCATCTCTGCTTCTTCACATTCCTTTTCTGCATCACACTGTTGTCCTCAGCTCCCAAACAGAAATTATTCCATGTTCACAAAAGCTACTGTCAGAGATGAACTGTAGGATGTTGTTGCTCAGATGAAATCCCAGGCTTATCGTTCTGGGAACACCTTCTGACCAGCCAGGTTCATACTCCAGAGTGTGAAAACGCCCAAGCTAGGGAGAGCATTCCAGCTGGAGTTCTATGGTTTGTCTCACAGGGCAGATGCCCACGCCTTTAGCTCTTGTCATTTCTGTCCTGGAACTGAAGTTCACCCCTCCTCTAACCACCCTGCAAGAGGGTACATATGCTTTGTTGTAATTTAGCAACTTCTCTCACCATGTTAGTGCCAGGCACAGAGTTTTCACTGCCCTAGATTGGTAGTAGCTAGATTTCCCCAAGCAAGGAAATGTCCAGGATGGTCCTGGTGCAAAGGGATAGGAATCCATAGGATTCATTATGGGCAGTGATTCGCTAGTCGGTGTTTGTTTTAGACCCAGTTTCTAGTCCTTCTTCCCTCCTCTCTTCCTCTTATGCAGGGAGAACATCCTGGTGTTGGACATTTTCTTTGAAGCTCTGAACTATGAGACCATTGAGCAGAAGAAAGCGTACGAAGTGGCTGGACTTCTGGGTGAGATCATTGGTTTTTCCCCTACATGGGATCCTACATGCCACCAACTTTCCATGGGATGGTGGCACTTTCAGCCAAGTTCCGATTTGGCCATTTTACAAAAAAACAAAAAAAAACAATTCCTCCATGTTCAAACATGAATGCCAGATTGGATTTTTTTAAAATGTCTGATCAATGATTGGAGCTAATAGGTTTTTTATGGAATACATATTTATGGATCTGTGCAACCAAAGGTCCTGGGTGGGCACACTTTTGGCATGACAGAGAACAGACATTTAGCTCCTCGTGTTGTTTTGGACTACAGTTCTCATCCTCCCCATCCAGAGTGGTCAGTGACTATGGGGCTGTAATCTAACAGCACCTGGAATTTAGGAAAGGATGACAGAGCTAGAGAGTCAAGGATTTTTTTATCCCAAACACTGACCTTTTTCAATAAACATTGAGGAAACACTGGATGGTGCAAGAAAGCAAAATATCTGATAGCTGGAAACTTTTTCTGATATCATCATATCCCATTTGACTAAAGTCACCATGTTTCCTTTTCCCTATAGAGTTTGGTGTATACTATATCATATACTATAATGCCGAAAATACCTAAATATTGAAATTCTGGAAGAAATTACTCTATGCACCAGAAGAAATGCCATATCTTCATATCTAATTATTATTGGTTTCCTATCTTCTTGTCTGCAGGTGACATTGGGGGACAGATGGGGCTGTTCATTGGAGCCAGTATATTAACTGTGCTTGAGCTATTTGACTATGCTTATGAGGTGAGTTTTGATTCCTATGAGTTCAGAGGGCAAAGAGTCACAGATCTGAAGATTGCCCAGAGAAAAATAAAACACTTCCAACACTGCCTCTTGTCCTATCTTTAGGTGATAAAGTTCCGCCTCTGTCGCCGCGGCAAGTGCCAGAAAAAACACAATGGAAACAACAGTGACAAAGGTGTAACCCTGAGCCTGGATGACGTGAAGCGCCATGTGAGTGTCTTTAAATCCATAACATAATGCATTGCCTTTCACAGGGCACCACCTGCCAGCATCTTTAACATTTGCAATAAGTGACTTAGCTTTATTCACAAGCACTGTCACATTCATACCACATTCACAATCTCAGTTTATCCTGAAAAATCCCAAGGTCTTTTAGTTTAATGTGCATCTTTGAGATTCATCCCCATTGAAAGCTAGAGTGAAGCCTCTAAAGCAGAGCTTTCCAAATTGTGTGTTGTGACATGTTAGTGTGTCACCTGCAGTTCATAGGTGTGTCACATGAATGTAACAAGAAACCTCTGAGTCTATGTGAAATCAGCAATAAATCATATATATATTTAAATATATCAATGAAAGGTTTCCACAAGACATTTTGTACATTGCATTCTTTCAATTTACGTGTGCCCATATTTCTTATAAGTAGTTTGTATAGCCTCTGGTCAGCTAGTAAATCTGAATTATTGTGTTGCAAAATGATACATATCTAAATGTGTGTCACCAGCATAAAATGTTTGAAAAGCTCTGACCTAAAATACCAGCTGTTTCTTCAGCTCACGAGCCACCCAGCTTGCCAGAACTGCCTGTGAGGCCTACTGATAGCCTCTTTTCTGAAGCCCTCAAATCCTGGGATCATAACTCCATCCTTGCTATCCCCGCTTCAGACATATTTATCGTACTACTTTCATAGTCTCTACCTGTCTGTGCTTATCTTCTTTCTGCTCCTTCCTAGAATCCATGCGAGAACATCAGAGGCCACCCAGCAGGCATGACGTACGCAGCCAACATCCTACCTCACCACCCGGCCCGGGGGACCTTCGAGGACTTTACCTGCTAATTGACAACTGGATGTACAACTAACACTACCAAAGGGAAGGGCCCATGCTGAGCAGCCCTGGCCCAGCCCAGCCCACGAACCTGCCAACTGACTTACCAGGGCTCCTATCTCAGACTCCCAGGAGAGGCAGCTGAATCCAGCCCCTCCTCAACCCCCACCACCCCAGGCCGAGACAGTGATACGCACATGGACAGAAATGGCAGTCTGGGCTGCCAGGCCCACTCCAGGCTTCTGCTCCTGTCCCACTGATGCCCTTGGACTCACAACTCAACAGAAAAGCTGCCAGGAGAACCGTCTCAAATGTCAAGTGGGCGTGAGGGCATTGCCTTCTTCAATCTCCACACACACACAGAAATCTTGACTGTCAATTTGTCCCTCCTTCTGTCTCCATCCTGCTCCATGCCCATAGCAAGCCTTGTGTGGGGATGGCCATTGTGTGCAAAGGCCTCTCTCTTTTAATCTTGATGCCAAGAAGTACCTACAGGAGGACTAGCCAGGATGCTCACCATGTTGTTCCATTGTATGGAATTGACTCAACCTGTCCAAAGGAGGTGCTGCATATTCCCTTGCCCTCTCCGTCCCTTTGCCCCATCCACCCACCGTCTGGCGACCCCTTCCTGTCTTCTGTGGGAGGCCATGCTAAGGTTTCCCCTGTAGCAAGAATGTGACTGAATTGTAAGGGTGGTTTAAGTAGGGCAGGTTATCATCTGCTTGTCTCATCCAACTAGCAGTTTCTCATTTGGTTCAGTCTGGACTCTACTCTGGGTGTGAGTCTTGTCTGTCTCATCCACACCATCCCTTTAAACATCCTGTCCCCTATCATGAGAAAGGCTGACAAATGACTGGTGGGTGAGCTGTTCCCAAATTTAACATATCAGCATTATAACGCTCTTTGGACTCCCCCACCCCCTACCCGTTGTGCATGTTCTTAGAAGTTATGGTCAACATTATCAAGTATTATGGTTTCTAGAGAAGTCTGCCATTTTTCTGAATCCTCAGTGGGACACACCCCCAGATTTTGTTCAAAGAAGTCTGGCTTCTAGGTTCTGCATCAACTGAGAAGAGAACAAAGTAGCCTGCTCTACATTTCAGCTTGCGTTTCCTCTTCACAGTGGCATGGCAACCTTTAGTTCACTTCTGCAGGCAGAAACAAGACACCTTTATTCCTCCAGATGTGCAAATGCATAGGGACATCATACCATATCAGTTTCTGCCAGCTGGCCTCAGTATATGGCTCTTAAAAGAACAGTGGGATCCTATAGGAAAGTGTCAAGGGCAGTTCTGCTTTATAGTAATACAGAAAATGTGTTATCCTCTCATTCATATAGGCAGCCAAGAACCTGTCCTTCCCTTCATCTGAGTTTTTTGATGACCATAAACTACCAACTGTCAGGGGGAAATGACAGAGGGTCTCCAGGCCAAGCTCAAGCCAACAATGTGAAACATTCTGCTATTACGCATTGCCACCAGACACCAAAATAAAGAACAGCTCAGGGAAGTGTCTGTCTTGCAAATTTTTGAAAGACAGGCCTTCTGGTTTCACTCTGAGGAAATCCAAAAGTCCTGTTTTGCAACACCCATGTTACAACCTCAAATTTGCTTTGGAGCCAATCATTGCATTAAATGTTAATTCACAACAGAGAGCTTCCTTTGGAATGGGACTTTCACCAGTCAGGTTGAGGGTTGAGTTAAGGCAAAGTTAAGGCAGAGTGTTCTGAGTTTTGTTTTATAGCACTTGTTTCCACCCCGGCTTAAGTCTACTATCCACAGCTCCAGCCTGGGCGAGACAAAGAAGATGGGTTGATGGTGATAGCTATGATAACATCAAGGAAGTGAACTCTCTACAAAAGTGGCTGACTTCACCTACTCACTCTCACTCCTGAATAAGCAGTATTTGAATCACTGAGATTATACAGCGGAAGTATTCTAGCCACACAATCAGATCAAAGGAGTAACCCCACCTCCTTCATGGGAGAAGGTTTGCTCAGATTTCTTTTAATTAAATGAACATGACTTGATCTTGCTGTGTTCTGAGAGGTGATAGATATGTTGTGTCCCTCAGGATATGACATATGTCTACAGCTGGGTAAGGATGGGGATCAAGGGGAGCTTTAGTGGCCAGGACCAGATCCACTTCAGACCAACTTTCATGGTTGTTAGTAACAGAGAATGATGTAACAGAGAATTAAAACCTCACAACCTCTAAGGATGCTTGCCACAGATGCAGGCGCAACATCAGGAGAGAATGCTTCTAGAACATGGCCATACAGCCCGAAAAACCTACAACAACATAGAGAATTATGTGCTGTCTTGTTACTATTTTGATAGCTCAGATGGAGTTGGTTCACGCTCTCAGCAGATTAAATCAGTAGATTGACTCAAATTATAATGTGGTCCATCTGAGGGAATGAAAGAATTATAGTTGAGTCTGGATGATCTTGGTGGATCTGTGGTGGACTAGTTTATTTTCAGACCTGCCAAATGGCAGAGGATGTGGGCCAAGTGCTCTTTCTATGCCTTAGGAGTCTATGAGTATTGGGAGGAAAAAGCAAGCTATACGCATCCCCCAAGAATCAATTAAGGGCTGAAGAAGAAGTCCCAAGGGGTGTCCTTCACCCCAGGCCTTGAAACGGTCCCTTAGACCCATCAGCCTGATGAGTTTTTAATGCCCATGGGCAAGTTGCCAGATGGGTCTTCCCTAAAGCCAACTATTTGAAGAGATTGGGTTCCCTTCCAGCCTGGGCCATCGAGCATCTAGTGCCTGCCCCATTCTCTGTCCCAGTTCAGCCTCTTCTCCCAACATTATGTTCGACATGCTGCATGCGCAGCATCCAAGGCCAAAGTTCTCCTTATCTTTAAGAGCTTTTTAAATAAAATCTTGCCATTTTAAAGAGCTTTATTTTATTTTGATCCTTATTGGTCTGGATTTTTTTTCTATAGTTTGTGTTTAACCTCCTGAATATAACCAGGCCCTAATTTCCCAAAGATGTTGCAGTTCTGCCATGGCCAGAATTTTTTGCCAAGGACCTTTCTAGGAGGTTCTTGACTTTGAAGGTCCCCGTCCCCTCATTTTTCTTTCATTTCTTTCTATTGTCTTTATTTTTCTGCTTGAAAGCTTTTGAAGATAGGGCTCAAACTTGACCTTTCCCCCATTTGTTTGTCCATTTTTACTATTTCATGCTCATTTTGTATTTCTTATATATAAAATATATGATATATATTATTATATATATGTACATATATATATAGATATATACATACCCACATCTCTATATGCACCATGCCAATGTATATAACCATCTAGTAGACTCAAAAGCCTTGATATTGTGCCATTATAATTTTTTTTCCAACTACCAATCTCTGAATGCCTTCAAGTGTATAAAGTGTTGAATTCTCTCTGGTATCTGTACTATGTACACATTTTCATAGGAAGCACAAGAAGATGACAAATGCATTGTATATCAAAACTTGCTCCTCTTAACAATGATATAAAGGATGATCTCAACCATGGAGACTCGGCCTTTTCCTCCTTCGTTTTATTGCAGAAAAGGGTCACAAAATCTGATTTGTGTGATCTGTTATGTTGTTTTAATGTGAAAGTATCATAGTAACAGAGAAATGCCTTCCATTGCTGGCAGCAACCATTCACAGTGCAGATTTAGATGTATTAGCAATGCCAGCTACAAAGATTGGGGGGCGGAGGTTGGAGTACATTGAAAAGGGCAGCCTGAATCTAGAAGGTGAACATGAGAAAACAAGATGTTCTTAGAGCCTGCCATGAGGTAAGGTGAGCTCTCTTAAGCTTGAGAGTTTGGGTAGGGGTGCATCTTCACTGTAGAATTAATGCCATTTGACACCTCTTTAACTGCCATGGATCAATGTTATGTAATCCTGGGAGATGAATTTTGGTGAGGCACTAGCACTCTTTGGCAACAAGGGATGAAGACCTTGGAAAAGAACAACTCCCAGGATTCTATGGCACTGAGCTATGGCAAATAAAGTGGCAGCAAATTGTTTTGATTCTGCAGTGTAGAAAAGCTGCACTCTGGGTGTCCTGTGGGCCAGGTAGGAGGCCCCAAATAGCAAAACGTCTTGGTCTAATCCTGCTCTCACACCATTGGATTCCTCACCATGTGCTCAAAGTGAGCATACCAGTACCATGAGACATGCAACCCCTGATATTCCCAATAGTTGTATACCCCATGATGCTAACTGATACCTGATTTTTCTTTCCTCTTAAACCTGCCTCTGCATTGACTAGAGAGAGGCACTGTGGTATGAATGAAACTTTATTTGTGCATGCATTTAAAAGTGTTCATGCCCACACATATGTTTTCCAGTGAGATTGGTTTTATGGGAGAAGAACAGATTTACACATATAATGTTGGCAACTAAAGGAGACTGCCACCTGGAACCAACAGGCATGCAAGAGGGAAAACCCTTGCATTGTATACACTGTTATCGTCAGCACTGGGAAGCATACAGTGACCATACAGCACCACAGACTAAAAACGTGGGTGTTGCCAAATAGCCTTTCTGTAATTGCACTGGAATTGGAATATACACATTATACATTATACATATTGAAAGCCTAGCTCTTTACAAGTAAAGGGACTGTTTTTCAGTACATGCTCGGCCATGGAAGTATCTATTAGCTATGAGTTTTTCATGTGTAAAATGTGAATAGCAATCTAATCCAGAAGAGAAGGGTGAGAATGAATACACAGCTAAGAAGGATGCAAGACTGAAACAATATAAAGCAGGGGAAACTACACCTTATGATTTTTTCTCTTTTATTTTCACTTAAGCTTGGTGCGTTCTATATATTGTGTGTAAAAACAATTTTGAAACTGAGATGCTGTTGGCTATGAGAAAACTCTGATCTTTGCCTCAGTAGTCCTTGTACTTTCTCCCCTACCTACAGAGATACGTTAAGTAAAAGGAAAGCATTTTGGATATACTTACAAGTTATTCTCATACATGAAAAAGTGAACATAAAATGCTGGTGTTTGGAAGGTTATATGATGACTAAATTGGCGCCTGTACTTCACATAACCATAATATGAATGTTAAAAGTGGAGGGGCAGTGGTGGTTGGGAAAGAAAGAGAGAATTGTTTACCTTGGTTTATAAGTGCATTTCATTAAAAAAAAACCAAAACTTTTCTGCCTCTTCTACAGTAACAACTGGCACAATTGGGATGAAGTCCTTGTTTTCTTCACTGATGAAAAGATGCATAAAAAGACAGAGGTTACGCATCAGAAGAATAAGATGTTGTGGCACTCCCATTTCTTTTAAAGCAAATCGTAATGTCTCGTAATCCACTCAGTCAGAGGCTTTTCTGTAATATATAACGCACAGATTAATTTCCTTCTGAAAGTGCATGCCGCTATCCATTGTATATTTGCAATATGATCCCGAGTGCCTCTTTTTTTCTAAACTCAGTTTGGACATCTATAGCATTTCTTGCTCCACATATGCTTAAAACTTTCTTGTAAAGTCTTGAGCATCATATCACTTGTATGAAAGCTCAGTGAAATTGTTCAGTAGTCACTCCTGGTGTTTCCTTTCTTAGGACTGGGGTCTATACTAGTCATTTCCATTCTGAGCTTACTTGTTTTGTTTTCCATATTTGTGGGCAGATTATTTCATGTTATAAAGTAATATTACCAGCCTTCACTTGTTTTGTGCAAATGGAATCATTACTCCAAATGTAATATATTAGAGGCAACATTATAGCTTGTAACACATTTTTCAAACAGAGCTAAAGGCTACTCTCACACATCAGTGAAGAATCAATGCTAGCACAAGCATAACATTTCAGGATAAAAGTAGCTAATCATTATCTCAAAATACCTACACCAAAACAGTAATTCTTCCCACAGAATTCTTCCATAATATGTAGTGACAGCCAGCAATTTGCACAGTTAAATGTATGGATGATAATGCTATCAGTGGCTACAAGGCATGAGGGTTATGCTGTGTTTAGGTATCAAAGAAAGGATGTCTTTATATGCTCCGGCCAATTTGCCAGAGCAGCCAATCAGCTCCTAGCATGCCTTGGAGGAGGTAGCTCCTGGCAGCTGTACTACTTCTCTGGGTGCCACCATGTTCTCCCAGGTCTCTCTTCCCCTGCAACGGAAAGGCTGCCCAGCAATTTGGGTGCCATCTTTTCCAGCTATTCTGCAAAAAACTTATTACACCAAGGCATCCGGAACTGTTCTGTACGCACTTACTGCAATGCCAAAGAAAAGCAACCTTAAAAACAACAATCAAAGCAACAAATATTAAATAAAAAACTCTATATTTGACAAACACAAATAAATATGGAAATGTGCTTTAAAAATCATAGTGGAATGAGAGGAAGATTCAGGATAAACAATCAATAAACTCATATGTCCTTAATCAAAACAAAGCTGTTGGATGTTTATTAATGCCTAGACCATATACCATTCTTTTATTTATTTATTTATTTATTTATTTACACACACACACACACGTACAACAATATAAAACAAGGGGGAAATACAACAGTATAAAACAAGAGAAAATTACTACATATAACAATTGGCAAGCTACAGATCTTGCCTCTTAAATTTCAATAACATTAACACATATTACCATTAAAATACAATATAATACATGAAATACAATCAAATTTACTGATGATGTTGTATAAAGTTTTAAAATGATTTTATTGTTAATTGTATTTTTATGGTATTTATGTTGCTAGCATCTTCTGATGCTTATGTGAGGCCGCTCTGAGTCCCCCTTGTGGGGAGAAGGGCAGGATAGAAATATACGAAATAATAATATTAAAATTCAGATTAGGTCACATTCGGATAACTAAGAGCATCCCCGTGACTAATATATATATCTTTGAGTCCATCAAGGTAGCTGTCGTAACTGGAGAGCTCCATGTTGCACCCTTGTTCAAAGAAGCAGACCCTGCCTAGTGTGATCCAGCAGGCCGCTTCTTCCCTGACATTCTGCACCTGGTGCTTCCTCCACTCCCGAATGTGCTGCTGCTCCTCTGTGAAGGGCCAGGAGGGATGGGAACTTCTTCCCCAGAGGATGGAAGACCTCAATGGACTCCAGCATCTGCTACACCACATTAGTCCTGGGGGTTCGGTGGGCAGGGTCAGAAGATGTGGGCTTTTCTTCCCCCTTCTTCCCTTGCCCATTTCTGCTACATGGACCTCCCTCAGATGTCTCTCCTTGTTGGAGTTGGACATGGTTTTTCTTTTCCTGGCTAGACTTCGAGCTGGATTCTTGCTCTCCTCTCTTCAGGTCTTCTGCTTCTCCCTGTCAAAAGCCCAAGGGGAGGTTTCCAGGAGATGCAACGGTTGGTGTAGAAAGAGATACATTGAGGACTAGTTCAGCTCAGTTACCCTTCCCATACCTATGAGTGAAAATTCATCTGAGGGTAAAAGCAGCATCTAAACCATGGGCAAAGAACACACCTTTCTCCAGAGGTTTTTGTAGCTCCCAACCCTATGCTTCCCTTGGACCATTCTTATCCTTGCTGGTAAATACTCCAGGAGGTATAATTTGATGTTTTAGATGGCCACTGGCCTTTTCAATCATTCAGCTACAAAGGCTCAATTTCTACATCACCTCCTTTTTTTTTTTGTGAATACTTAACTCAGTAATATCCATTAGCTTGATTCTCAGAGACTTACCAGGTACCAGATATCTTCAGCTATCTTTTGGGATCTGGAGGACAGAGTTTTCTTCCCTTTACACCAGTTACCAGCTGCAGAAATTGTAATTCTAGGTTGCAAAGCCAATTCCTCCAGACCAGCTCACATCTCCCACCCTGATCTTTTATTTCTAAACAAGAGAGGTGTTTACCTTTGGAGTCTTTCACATCCATGATAGGAGAATGAAGGTTGGGTTCCTCATCTCCTGGAAGGGAAGTCAAGCATTGGTTGGGATGGGTGGGAAGAGATGCCCATATAAAGTTGGATCATTCTCTGGATGGGGAATGAGGAGCATGGAGAACTGGAGGTACAAAATGAGGCTCATTTTTTCCTGGAAATGTGATTGCTGAATGGGGTAAGGTGTGGCACGTGTGGAATACCAAAGCTTCCCAAAATTTCTAAATGCTCCTTGAGGACAAAATGATTCTGATGGGTGGAGCACATGGAAGGAGGTGGAGGATTATGGAGAATGAGGAACATAGCGGGAGATAGAGGGTGTAGAGGTTGAAGGACATAGTGGAAGGTGGAGAGTCGTGGAGAGAGAGGAAAATCGTGAAAGGTGGAAGCAGAGATCCTCAAATAGCATTTATTCCAAGACTTTGCAAATACAGACTTTTTAATACATATTTTGAAGACATCAGGATCACTCTTAAGCGGCTGCAGTCCATAGATTTGGGGGTTCCAATCTTCTTGACAGATTGCAAAGCCAATTCAGTACTTTCCTCCTTCCCTCCAATATGCAAATTATCCCTTGAATGGCATATAGACAACATTTCTAGTAATTTCTGCCATGCTCTGCCTTTCTCCCATTC